GAAAAGGCAAAAGAAATTGGGCAAGGGAGTATTTTTATTATATAATTATAAGTGTATAGGACGAAAATATATGTACTTGCATGTGTATATACAATTTTCTCACGCTTTATACAAACAGAAACACAATTTATACATTTCGCTTCCGTTTGTATAAGTGAGAAAGGCGAGGGTGGCGAGCGAGATTTGGGAGATTGGCGAGCGAGATCTGGAAGAGGGGAGAGAGGGGAACAAAAATATATGTATTTATACAACTTTCTCTGGTTTATACAATTAGAAACAATTTTTATACACTTGTGTTTGTATAAAAAGTGAGGAAGCGAGCGAGAGATTGGAGGAGAGTGGCGATCGAGATATTTGGGAGAGAGGTGTCTGGTAATTTTTTGCAAACGTTTGCTATGGAACACAATTAAATCAAACCCTAGCTACTCCGTTTATTTTAGGTTATTAGTTTGCTATTATATACAATTTTCCCTTATAAAAATCCCTCAACTAATATAATAATATAAGCTATGATGCATTAACCTAATGAGCGAGATATATTAATCGTTAAGTAACATACGTTACATTTTATAAATGATACACTAATCTGATATATATTTTATACATGATACATTAATTTGATGCGCGAGATACATCAATTTGATGCACTGATACATTAATCTGATGCGTGAAAATTAGGAATTTTGAAAATTTATAAAAATAATAGGGGATAATGATAATAAGAGAACTTAAAGGAGAATTTCTGTCATTTATCCTTTAATTTATGCAACAAAAATATTTGAAACCTTTTTTTTGGGAATATAAAATTTTCCAACCAAAAACTGTAATATAGTAATAACGGAAATAGAAAAGGGTAAATTTCATATATGGCAAACTTATTTGATTAAATAACATTATATGGGTATAGTTTACATAATTACACTATATGGGTATAGTTTAGTTATTTTAGGTATCTTTAATTTTGTATATAAAGGTTTTTATTTATACAATTCTATTTTAAAAAGTGGTTTGTAACTGAAGCGTTAAATATTGTAACAATAAATTAAGATAATGCCACAATTTTAGGGAAACGTCCTTTTTTTTAAGCTAAACGTTCAAATTCAAAAAAAATATTCATACAGCAATTGAAACGAAAATATTTTTTTTCTCTTTGTGAAACTGAAGTTCAGCAATTTTTGCAATCGAATACAGGTAAGTTTTTTTTCGATGAAATTTCTTTTTTATTATTGCAATAACTATACAATGTTAAATTGGATTTAGAAATTGAGATTTGTTTTCTTTCGTTATTGTGATGTGGTTTTCTTTTTAAAAAAATTGAAAATATGATTTTGTTAAGCTGAATTTTCGTAATATACAATTATATACTGTTCATGTAATTGTATATGTCATTCGCATAATTTGTATATTTTGTAATCGAAAAGATATAATCAGTGGTCATACTTGTATATATTCAAAAAACATGTGTTTTTTCTTTTGATAGATTTATATACTATTGTAGATGTAGTGTTTGTATATTAAAAAGAATAATAGTATATAATTTCTATAATTTGATTGTATAAATATTGTTGTATTAATTGTATATATGATCTATTTGAATTATTTGAAATATATATATATATATATATATATATATATATATATATAATATATATATATATATATATATATATATATATATATATATATGTTCTTGTCATAAATGTACAGATAATGGGCTCATTAGCTATCTAGGTTATGCATTCTGGAAAATGGGACGATACAAATAGTTACGTTGATTATACTATAGAGGGAGTAGTTTTTAAGGAACAGTCAACGTTTCTTGATTTTTATACTACTATTGCCAAATAGATTGGTGTTAATATGAATAATAAGACTTTGAAGATTGAGTACAAGGTTGAAGAAAGCAATAAACGAATGGTCATACACAATGACATGGGTGTCAGAGTGTATGTAATGCTAAAAAAAGCCAACACTGATTTTAACAAATTTCCTATTTGTATAACTATTTTGGATTCATGTGATAGACAGATTTCTCAGTGTAAAGAGTTGGGGGTATTGGCAACTGTTGGAGAAAATGATTGTCATGATATGATTGTTGTTGAACCGGAGGATACAAATGTTGTGTTTGTATCGATTGATACATCTTGGGTGATTTCAGACGAATCTAATAAGCATGTTGAGGTTGATCAAGTATACAAGGACAAATCAATTTTGAAAGCAGCCATGGAAAGCTATGTGATTAAAGGGAGATTTCAGTATAAAACTACTCGATCAAACTCAATAAGGTACTGTGACTCTCAAAATATTGACTTTTAAACTGTATAAATGTTTGTATTGCCTATTGTAAACTAAATTTGTATACTATATTAAAAATCAAATCCAGTTACACTGTGGAATGTTATTCTAAAGGATGTGAATGGTTAATGAAGGCCTCTAATATCAACAAATCTGGAATGTTCAGAATTCGAGCATTCAACCGAAAGCATACATGTCCTTTAAAAGATAGAGTTTATTCGCAAAGACATGTAACTAGCAATTAATAGGAGGGATTGTGAAACCTAAATTTGTAGATCATAAACGTAAATATACACCAGGTGATATAAGAAAAAAAGTTAAGATTGATCTAGGAGTTGATGTTAACTATATGTTGGCTTGGAGGGCCAGGGAGAAAGCATTGAAAGCTTTGAGGGGTACACCAGCTGCATCATATGCAAAGTTACCTGCGTATTTGTATATGATGGATATCACTTACCCGGGGTCTCATATACGTATGAAAAAGAGTACGAATAATGAGTTCTTGTATCTATTTGTTGCATTGAATACATTTATCCAAGGATTCAATCATTGTAGACTAGTAGTCGTGGTGGATGGTAGTCATCTGAGAGGTCCATATAATGGGACATTTGTTGCAGCAAGCACGACATATGGCGCAGGTATTATATATTATATATATATATATATATATATATATATATATATATATATATAAAATATATATCTGTGTGTGTGTGTGTGTGTGTGTAATAATGTACATGTATATACTTTAATCTGTTGTATATGTACATTTAATATATGATTTTGATATTATTGTAGGACATATATTTCTACTTGCGTATGGTATTATTGATTCAGAAAATGATGCTGCGTGGACTTGATTTTTTGAGCAACTTAAAGAAGCATACGGTGAGAGGAGTAACATGTCTGTTGTGTCTGATAGAAATGAGAGCATTATAAAGGCTGTTACAAATGTATAAAGTAATGTCCCACACTATGCTTGTATGTGGCATTTATAGAATAACGTTCAGAAAAAGTTTAGAAAATCTCATGAGAAGTTATCTGGTGTATTCTATACAATGGCAAAAACTTGCACAAAGAATGAATTTGATATGTTAATGGATACTGTAGAAAAAGAAAATATAAGAGTGAAAGAGTATTTGGATTTAGCTGGATATGAAAAATGGGCTCTTTGTTATGCACAAGTACATAGAGGATGGCACATGACATCAAATATTGCTGAGAGTATAAATGCAACACTTGTTCCAGCGAGAGAACTGCCTATTTTTGAATTTCTCGAAGAGGTAAGGCTATTATTTGGAAGGTGGAATCATGACTACAAGAAGGAAGCAATCTTCACATTCACATCATTGATTGGAAAATACCATGACATACTATCAGACAATGAAGCGTTGAGCTCAAGAATGACGGTAATATTTAAGAATAAGTATATATTTAGGAGTGTTGGTATGAACATCATTTCATTTAATTGTATTTATAAACGAGCAGGTTGTACCGTCAACGGAATATGTGCACAATGTTAATGATGATGGGAGATATTTTGTAGTCCGTCTAAAAGAAAAAAGTTACACATGTGGAAGATTTCAGTACGAGGAAATACCTTGTGAACATGCTTGGGCGGTATTGAGATGGAAGAGTCTACCACCAGATGAATATTGCTCAGATTTATACAAACCAAGGACAATGTTAAAGACATATAATATGCCTATACATCCTTTGCCGGATGTAAAAGCATGGTTGATTCCGGATAGCGTTATTGTTGATGACGTATTACCTCCAAAATTTAAACGACCTCCTGGCAGGCCAAAGGGTAAGCCTCAGAAAAAAACAGCAAGAGAGTTATCGAGGATTAAGGGGAAAAATACATGTAGCACATGTGGAATGGCAGGTCACAATAGGCGTTCGTGTAGAAATAAGTCAAAAGATGTTTAAGGCTGATTGTTTTTTCCTAATTAAATTTGAATTGAAACTATATGCATTATGAATTAATTGAAATCTTTGTTTTTGTATACATATTACTTAAACTACGTGTTAATTTGGTTATGTGTTGTACATTAATGTGTGTGTTGTATGACATACAAAAGTACATATTATACTCATTAAGTTTTAGCACATACTATATACAATAATTAATTTGAACAACATATATAGTTGTTATACAAATGTGTAAATTAAATTTGTGTATATATATATACGCAACATGATCAAATGTTCAACACTAAACAAGTAGAGATTATAAAAATAAAACTCTTTTATCTTATATACAAATAAAACATGAACAGCATATATTGATATGCATATACAATTAATAAAAACATTGAATAAGTGCTAGTATATTCATATATACAATTTAAAACCTGAACAACATATTTCTTTTGTTATACAAATTCGTAAATACAATTTGTACATGTATATATTTATTCAATAAGATTATATATGTATATTTATTGCAATCTAATTGTATGTGCATATAAAATAAAATACATAGTATACGTGCTAGTGTATACTATATACAAATAAAAAACTGAACAAAATATAGCTTTTGTTATACAATTTTGTAAATGCAATTTGTGTGTGTGTGTGTGTGTATATATATATATATATATATATATATATATATGTAAGACACTTTATTTTAAAAGTAGTTTTTATACAATTAAATTTTATATATGTATATATTTATTTATATAATACGTTATACCAAATAACACAAAAAGATAGTGTCATATATTTAACACTAAAATGATAGTTCAAAACAAGGACAATGATATTACGAGTTAATTAAAACAAAAGTTATGGTAAAATTGTTAAGAATCTACAACTAATATTTAAAGTGTCAACTAAAAACCAAAATAATGCTACAACTAAGGTATAAAACTAATGGATTGTAATCCTTTCAGAACTGTTGTTTTCTGTGCGAATCCTGACGAATTTTAAAGGCGCTTCACTATCACTGACAGCTCCGACTTGTATCTTTTGATTGCCTTAATTCCACAACAATGCACCGTATCTAAGGCGAATTTCTTCTGGGTTTAAATCTGCTGGAATGTCTTTCCTCTCACTCAAAAACTCCGCGTATGACGCAACATACACTCCACAGTCCCTAAAAAAATATACGAAAAAAAAGTTCAAATGTTATTATACTATTTAAAGTGTAACTATGTTCAATATAATATAAATTTATTGAATTTTCAAACTTACAAACTAGCAGCTGGTTGTTGGGGAAGGTCTTCCACATATACAATTTCGAATGAATCATATATGGTATGACCTTGATATCGATGGTGGCTTGCAATATCCACACCTTTCTTCAGATAGAAATCAGATTTTACAAGATACATTGGTATAAGCTGTGCATACTTCTTGATGTGATTGACAACAATTGAGTGGTGAAGAGAATTCTTGATTGAGTCATACACCTTGATGCATCGATCATTGAAGGATATGACAATCAGAATCCAATGTAACCTGCCTTCTAAGTTAACCGGAATGAATAAATCATCAACTATGTGTCATGGTGCATACGCTAGAATCTTGTATCCATTAATATAATCAATAATCATCTCGTCTAAGACTTCCTTAGAAAGGTCACCTTTTATTCCATAATATGCATTCCAAGCATTTAGAAAAACAGAGTTGAAATTGCAACATAGATTTGTGAATTTGTATGTGCTACTATTGGAGTATTTGGCCTTTTCCCTTATATAGTAGAATAAGACATCTATGTGCTGTGATATAATGAGTAACAATGTTATAATTTATACATTATACAATTTCATTTAATTTAAACATTTTTAATAATATAAAAACGAAAACATACAGAGTTATCAATCAACTGGCGCTCAAACCCGATATTGTAGAACTAATTCTTGTTGTCAATTGTCGCTACACCAAAATTAAACAATTGTGGTAATGTTGACTTTCCTTTCTTATAGCGATCCTCCGCATAGTTCCTATTATACATAATACAAAATAACTACACAAAACAAACAATTAAAAATGCAAGTGTATACAAAAAAAAATATGTTACTTTTTGTAATGCTTGACGAGTAAGTTCTTTTCAGCCATATCCAAAAATTTGAAAACAAATCAGACTCTTCCTTATCAGACAATGAAACAAAAGGATGTTTCATGTAAAACACAACTGGTTGTCGGGACGAACTACCTGAAAAGATATGTATATAAATATTTACATCATGCAAACAATATAATTATTTATGAAAATGTAAACATAAAAAATTATTGCTTACCAGCGTCCGACCCAAAAGAAGTCATGTACGGAGATATGTTGAATGGACCTGGGTGTCTATGCCTAACAGCTGGCATGGGTGTTACTTCAGCTTCAACTTGTTTTTGTAATACAATGTTTTGCAGTGTGTTCACGCTTGGAAGAAGATGGTCTGGCAATTCATCCTGTGATTCAGTTATAACTGTTTCCTGATTTGAATCAGGCATGTATACCATTTGTATAGGCGCTGCAACTATAATAGACTCCTCTGCTTCTGCAATACGCTCGTGAGATGCAGCATTGTATATGTTATATATTACCCAACTGTTTGAGCTACTTTCAGTTTCCCTTTGGGTATTTTGTTGGGCATCCACATTAGCATACAACACTAATTGATCTTGTGAGGCAGTGCCACTTACATCATTCAAATTATCACCCAAAATAACTTGATCCAATAGTGGGGAATTCTGGTTTAGTTCATGCAAGTTATCTCCCAGCTTAAACAGAAAATAATAACTTAAATATCCAACAAATTGATTATAAACCATTATAATAAATTTTAAAATGTATATAATCATTTACGGATACCTCACGATCTTTTAATGCACTTGGATGACCTATCGGTTTTTTTTGTGCACCTAACTATGAAGACTTGGTATTTAACTGATGAACACGAGTGATATGCGTTTCTTACATGACATCTTCAAATGTAGCCTGAAAATAATGAAAACAATATAAGAAAATATGTTGTAGTATATTCAGTATAAAAATCAGTAATATGCTGATTTATAATTAGAGCTATACTATTATATACTTCTTAATTATTTAATTTCAATATGTGTATAAACTGAAATTACTTATATAAAATTTATTTCATTTCAATATGTGTATAAACTGAATTAATGTATAAATATTGCAAAATAATACCTCTTGTTATGTCAAATTTGCAGATTGACTTTGGAGTTAATGTGGAGTGTATGTGGGCTGGTGATGAATATCTCTGATGGCTGATTGTTGATCATCACGACGACATTAACCTGAAAAAATAATTATACAACTGTATTCATTAGTATAAAGTATATTGTATATAAAAAATTAAAACAAAAAATTTATACATGTGATACCTTTGAATTCATGGCTTCCAACACTGTTTTGAATTTGTCTTCAAGCATTTTTCTCAAATCAGCGAACTCGTCCTTGACCTATGTGAAAAAGGTGCATATTTTATTAATAATTGTATATAATCTTTTCAAATAACGTATATTTGAATTGTATATTTGATTACCGATTTTTTGAATGCTTCAAATTCATCACGCGAAATTGTAATGCTTGTTGACTTCTTAATTTGCCCCATTTGTGTTCTGTCTTGAACACTTTTCTGCTCTACATGTTCATTGTTGTGTGACGTAGCTACATCACTGTGTTTCGCAACACTGTTGATATTGATGGACTGTGAAGGTGTGGCTTTGCGCGCCATTGATCTTCGTGTGTATGTCTTAATTGCCTTTGTTGAGGATTTGTTGATGGAGATGACTGTAACAGATTGCTTTTTCTTTTTCATAATCGGTGAAGAACATTCAATAACTTTTTCTTTTCCTTTTTTGCTTGTTATACTGGGCGGGTTTTGGAAATCATCATCCGGATCTGTAACTTTATTGTGATCAGTCTGGAGGCCTTGAGAAATTGATTGTTCTGTCGATGATGGAAGTTTGAGGATTTTAATTTTTATCGCTGTTGGCTCAATATTTCTGAACTTAATCTGCATAATAATGAAAAATTATAAATCAATATAATAAAAATGTAATATACAATTTGTAGTAAGTAAATGTATACTAACATCAATAATTTACAAATTGTATTAAGTAAATGCATATCGGATTATCTGCATCATTAAAAATTATTTTCATGAAATAATCAAACCGAGGATGGTTGTTCTTAGTCACCCAATTGATAATCCGAGGAATGTGACTAGAAACCTTGACAACAATCTTGTCCTCAACATACGAGCAACATTCATAGAACCAAACTTGCATTGGAAGTGGAAAACCCTGAATTCTGTAGTACTGTCCACATGACTTTATCTTGTTGTTTATGGATTTATCAAGTTCATTAAAAGCCTTCCGACCCCACGAATAATCCATAAATCTACCTGTTTCAACCAGATCAAAGTTCAACCTATCTATTGTAGTTGTAGTAGGTTCTGCGGACATGATAAACTCATGTATATAATATAGAATCCCAAACTTATATGCATCTTCCTGATTGTCACCCCATACCTTTGCTTTAAAAGCTTCAGCCAAACGAGCTTTAGTGACAGGAGAATTCCCTGGAAAATACTCATCGATGATTCTATTGGGTTGATCAGTATCAAAGTAGAAGTCAGCAGCATTATCAGAACAATTCAAACCAGAAATAATGACAAATTCCCGTATTGTGAATCGAAGCGTTGTGCCATTTATATAAAAAAGTATTGCATTCACAGAACTACCCTCCAACTTCCTCAACATAATGCATCTAAACAATTGTGCTTGCACGTGACATCGTCTCATTGGTGTTAACTGTGTAAAACACGATGATGCACATATACGATTATATTGATTTGGAGGCAGTTTATTCTGAAGCTCATTCAATGTGTTGATTTGCGTATAACATTGCATGTGAATTGTCCTTTTTTCACGGTTCTTGCAAATATATCTGACTACCTAAAAAATAAAAAAAAGTTTATGAAATAAACATAGTATATATATACAAAAAAAATAATATAGTCATGTACAAATTAATTTATGTATATATATACTTACCTATATATATAAAAAAATCAAAAAATAAGTCATGCACAGATTAATTTCTGTTTATATATATGAACTTACCTTTTTTGTATATTGATATGTGTACATTAATATATTAGGTAAACATGACATTATATTCAATAATTTGTATATAATTACTACAATATACAAATTATAATCACGTATGATATTTTCCCATCTATATAACTAAATCCAATTACTTTGTGTATATATTTATATATAAAAATAATGAGCCTTTAATATATAATTCCCTACTACCATCTATTAAAACAGACATGTACATATCATTTTTTGTATATGTATATAAACTTAATATATACTAACTTCAATAATTGTATATAACTAATATAATATACAAATTCTAATCATATATTCAAATTTTCCATCTGTATAACTAAGTCCAAATACTTTTTTGTATATATATACAAAAAAAACAAAAATAATTTATATTGATATGTGTACATGAATATATTAGTTATACATGCCATTATATTCAATAGTTTATATATAATTACTACAATATACAAAAACTAATAACTTCAATAATTTGTATATAACTAATATAATATACAAATTCTAATCATATATACAAATTTTCCATCTGTATAACTAAGTCCAGTTACTATTTTGTATATATATACAAAAATCAAAAATAACATAAACATGCAATATACTATATACAATTACTAAACATGGAATATACTATATACAATACTTAATTTAATACTTTTTGAATATTGACAACTAATTAACCAAAAAATTGTATCTAACTTTGTGTTTTAAGAAAGTACCTCATGATTATGAAGTTCATCAGATCCGACAACTTCAGAATCATTATCCTCTGATTCAATGTTAACATGTTTCCTCTTTCTTGTTCCTTGTACAATTTTAATTCCTCTGGCTTTGGCATTTTTTTATAACTTGTTGAACTGTCATAGGGTCGTTTTTTTTCTTTGATCTCAACTCTTTCATGGTTTGTTCTTGTAGAACTTGTTTTGATTTTCCAAAAGACCCTACATTAACCCCAAATTCTTGAGTTAGCCCCATTGAAAAGGATGGTAAAATGTCAACAACATTGACATGCAAAGGAGTACCTCTGGTAATCCTCAAAGATGTAGATGATTCGTTCATTGTTTGACCAATTTTAGATCTATCAAGAACAAAAAATCGACTCTTCATCAAAATATATGAAAAAAACTAATAAACAGAACACATATACAATTTTTAAATAAGTTAGAAAAAAAAGAGGTAAACAACTAAAATTAAGGAGTACTTACGAAATTGACTTCAACTTGGGGAGGGGACTTCAACTTCGGGAGGGATTACTGAAATTTTGGACAAACATTCGAAATTCAAACCGGATAGCTGGAGTATTAAATGTAGGAGAAGACATTAGAATGTGAAAAGGAGAGAGAAAATTAATTGTGAAAAGGAGAGAGAAAATTTTGTGTATAATTATATACAAAATTAGAAAATAAAGTTTTTATACAATTGGTTACATAATAGGTTGTGGGCCCCATTAAAATATAACAAAAAATAATAAACTATAATTATATAATGTAAATAAATTAAACTATACTCATATAATATAATTAGTTATGAATGTTTGTCATTTCATATAATTTTCCTAAAAGGTACCATATGGACTAAAATGAGTGTAAAGTATGGGAAAAGACATAGATTTTCCTTTGAATTTATATCGAAAAGTCAGTTACACGTTTAAACTATCATGACAGTCTATTACAAACCTCTGCTATTTAAAAGTGAATTTATTTACCCCTAAAGCTGACATGACAAATTAATAATAATTTTTAAAAAATCAGTTTGTCAGATAAATATTGAAATAAAAAAGAATAATTAAAAATTAAAATATTTCTTAAACCCCACCCCCTACATCTCTTCTTCATCACACCCAACCCTCTCATCTTCTTTACACTCCATTAAGCTTAAAATAAACCAATAATAAGAAACAACCTAGAAATAAATTACTTCAAAAGGGAGTTGAATTTTGAGAGGTTTCAATCGATTGGGCTTTGGCAGAAGAAAATTATTTTTCTTTATTCCTATTTTTTAAGAAATTTCCAAAAAGAACATGGAAAAAACAAGTTGAAATATATTTACAACTAAAAACCACAACAATAACAATGAAATGTTAGTTTCCATGGTCAATGGAAGAAACTGAAGCAAGCTTCTTGTGGTACATTTTGGAATGAAAAAATTATTTCACTCCAGAATCAACTCCAGATAGCGGGCAATTTCCTAGCTGGTCATTGCTAAAAGTTCTTCTTTTCCATTTTGCAATGAAGAAAATAGAACTATTAGAAAATTTTAATAATTGATTAGAAATTAATTAGTGTAAAATATAATTAAAAATAAAAGTAAAGTAACAAAGAAAAGAAAGTTAAAAGAAAATATAAAAAATACAATTTCTGACATGGCACTGATGTAGCGCTGGTACGGCAGCGAATTTAACACACCACATAGTATGAGAGTGGTGATGCAAATAGCAGAGTGGTATTAAATTCACTATTCAATAGTAAAAGTGTAGAATAAATCATCATGATAGTTAAGGCGTTAATGATATTTCGTGACAAATATAGGTGGAAATCTGTGCCTTATCCTCTACTGGTATACATGAAACTTGTGTGTTTGAGCACATGCTTATCATTTGGAGTTTTCTGAAGTCTACGCATAAATTTGTTCACTACATTCATTCAATAAGTCATATAAGTACACATACAAAATATACAAAGTTACCTTCTATATGGACGAGCTTATTATGTGACTAGATAAATTAATAATATGTGGGAATATGATGTTAATGAGATAATATTACATTTTAATTTTTTTATATATAATTATGTTTACCTAATAAAGTTTTTGTCACTTTATTTGTTTGTTTAATGTCAAAAAGTAATTTGTAGAAAAAAAGGAAATAGTATATATTTGTATGGTTAGAATTTAGAAATCAAATATCCATATCAAACCAGACCAAAATTAGTCAATAACGATCAAACTGGCAAATATCTATAATGAAATCAAAAATCGGTAATAGGGATACGGAGAGAATTTTAAACATATTGAATTTTAGGGTAAAAGCTCTATTTTTGATATTACTAATTGAAATTATAAATATAGGATGTGAGGAAGAACTTAATCCCTCACTACGAAAGTCTTACTCACCTTAATGATGAAACTTGATGAAGAAATGACCCTCTTGATATTTTTTGAAGTTCTTGAGCGTAGAAATTTTTTGAGAATGAAAGGATTTAATAATGAAAATTTTATTTCCTACACATTTATGGATATTTAGACAACTCCCTAAAGGTTTTAGAACATCTCTGGAAATCAATTTAAAGTTTGAAATATGTTCAACGGTGTTAGAAAGAAGACTGATAGACGTTTGATTTTATAGTTCATGGGTTATCAAACTTTTTATATTCTGAGAGATATAATCATTTAAAGTTGATCCTTGTATGAACTCATGTGAAAACT